CAAACGAGACACACACACACACACACACACACACACACACACGGAGTCTGTTTTGTGTTGGCCAGGTACTCCTGGATGTGGAGCCTGCCCTGGGGTGTGGCTGATAACCCACTGATTTCCACTTTCGTAGCAGTTATTAATTGCAGAGCTTCTTCGTTAAAGGTGGGACTTCGTGTCCGCCTCCCTCTCCCAGTGCTGGGCTTCTGTCTGGTTTGAGCCTGTGTAGGGCTTGTGCGTGCTGCCACAGTCTCTGAGTCACGTGTGCATCAGTCCTGCTGTGTCTAGATGACTGTTTCCTTGTGGTCACTCTCCACCTTCAACTCTTCCGTCTTTCCGTCCTCTCCCACATAGGTCCCCAAGCTTTGGGGGGAGCGGTTTGACGAAGACTCTCCATTTAGTGCTGAGTGCTCCAAAGTCCCCCACTCTCTGCACATTTTCCAGTCGTTGGTCTCTGTGTTAGTTCCCATCTATTGCAAGAAGCCTCTCTGGTGTTTGCTGAGCAAAGTAGTGATGCCGTTTCTGTTCTGGTGGAAGCTCCACCCCAGCCCCTGGCATCCATATACCCAGAGTCTGGAATGTTCAGGTGGAAGCTCCACCCCAGCCCCTGGAATCCATATACCCAGAGCCTGGAATGTTCAGGTGGAAACTCCATCCCCAGCCCCTGGCATCCATATACCCAGAGTCTGGAATGTTCAGGTGGAAACTCCATCCCCAGCCCCTGGCATCCATATACCCAGAGTCTGGAATGTTCTGGTGGAAACTCTACCCTAAGCCTCCTGCTCCATCTCTCTCCAAACCCTGCTGCATCTTAGTAAGCCCACCAAATGATGACAATCCCCCCAGAGATGCTCAAGACCACTCCCACAGGGTACTTATTGTCCCCAGAAAACAGATGCGTTTCTGTTTTCTGGCCTTCCTTTCCCATCTCCTCTCTTGGGGGCTGGAAAATCATCTGGGAGCATTGTATCTATTAAACCTGGACTTTTTCTAATTCTGATTTGGTCTGGTTTGGATTGTTGCAGCAGCAGAGAGGTGCAGAAACTTTTCAGTTCCCAGCTAAGCGTAGCCTCTGTGGGGTCCCATTAGGGAGTGGGTCAGTAAGTCAGTGTGGAATCGGAAAAGAATGCAGACGCACCAGGAGCCCTGGCTGGGGCAGAAAGAAAGAGCTAGTGCTTAGGGGGTTTCTTGAGACAGGGTCTCACACTATGGCCCCAGGATGACCTGGAACTCACAGCAATCCTCCTGCTTCAGCTTCCCCAGTGGTGGGATTATAAGCATAGCTCATCTTTCTGGAGATTAGTATATCTGTGAGAGAGCATGAATCAAAATCCAGTTCTATAGAAAAAAACGCCTCCAGCATATTCTGCAATCTGTGTTCATTGTAGTGACATCCACAGCAGCCCAAACTGAAGCCATCCAAGTGCCCACCAGCCAATGAATGGAAACAGATGTTAAATGCCTATAGATGGATTACTATTCAGTCTTAACCAAAAGTAAATAAATAAAGGGGCTGGGGAGATGGTTCTGTAAGTAAAGTCCTTGCTAGGAAAACCTGAGACCTAAGTTTGGAAAAGCCTTTATGCCCGGTATCCAGGTAAAGACCCGGCAGGCTTGGCGGCCCACTTGTCTCTGTATTCAGAAGGTATACAGGGGGTTCCTGGGCAAACTGGTAACTAGACTAGCAGGAATCGTCCAGTTCTGAGGTCAGCTAGCAACTCTGCCTCAGTTAAGAAAATGGAGAAGGGGTGTTGCTGCTGGTGGTGCACACCTTTAATGCCACACCAAAGAGGCAGGCAGATCTCTGTGAGTTCGAGACCAGCCTGGTTACAGTGCGAGTTCCAGGACAGCCAGGACTACACAGAGAAACCCTGTATCAAAAAATCCTCTCTCAAAGCCATAAAATGACACTTGAAGTCTGCTTAGAACCTCCACATGCACACGCATACATCAGTTCCCACACACCTACAAATGTATACACACACAAGCACCACACACATACACATATTTACAAAAGGAAATAAATAAATTTGCTGGTCATATTTGTAGGTATCTGTAATTCCAGAACTCAGTGGGGGCATGGAGATAGTGAGTTCAGGCCAGTCTGAGCTACATAGTCATACCAGGTCTTGAAAAAACAAGGGCTAGTTTGATGGCAGTCTCCTTTCACCTTAGCAATTCAAAAAAGGGAGCATTATTTTGTATATGGATTGCTTTGTGTGCATCTATGTATGTGTACCATATGTGTGCTTGATGCCTTCGGAGGTCAGAAGAGGGTGTGAGACCCCTTAGAACTACAGTTTTTCAAATTGGTGCTGGGAATCTAACCTGGGTCCTCTGCAAGAGCAACAAATGCTTTAACCACTGAGCCATCTCTACAGTCTCAGGAGTCACCTTTAATCCTAGCAATTGGGAGGCAGAAGTTTGGGTACTAGCAACTATGATCTTGACTTTGTCTGATGGCCCAAAGTGGTGAAATTCATAAAGTAAGCAGGAGAGCCGTGGCTCTGGGTGAAGAGTAGGCAGCTAGTCATTGCTAGATACAGTGTCTGTTTTCTGAGATGCAGAATTCTAGAGGTAGGTGGAGGTGGTGGCTGACAACACCTTGAATGTTCTTTTTGGGGGCGGGGAGTTTTAAGACAGAATTTCTTCATGTAGCCAAAGATGTTCTAGAACTAGCTCTTAATAGACTAGGCTGGCCTGGAACTCACAGAGATCCACCTGCCTCTGTTTCCCTAGTGCTGAGATTAAAGGTGTGTGCCACCACTGCCCAGCACCATGAATGTTCTTAATGTCCCTGAACTGTGAGTGAAAGAAAATTATTAAAACAACAAATTATATGTTATACATACTATACACAACATAAAACTCAATTTTAAGCATATTTTCATTACATTAAAAACATTAAATTCTGATAATAGCAAGTATTGGAGCTGGGGACATAGCTCAGTCAGCACACACAATGCCCAGGTTAGATGTCCAGAATTGTAATTACCACCTGTGATCTTAACACTGGGGAGGCAAAGGCAAGAGGGACAGATGTTCAGGGTTACCCATGGCTACACAGAGAGTTTAAGGCCAGCCTTGGCTACAGGAGACTCTGTTTTCCATTTAGCAGGCTGGAGATGAAAGTTATTAGTGAACCACGATAGGTAAAGCACAGACTCAGCACAGGACTGCCGGGCTTGCTATCTGTGGAGGAGACCTCAGCTAGGGATAGATTTGTCCCCCACGGCCACCAGGGATGAGCTGCTTCCCAGGCACCATGTTCTCAAGACCATCTGCACTACACTAGGTGAATCCCCTCTACTTTGAGATACCACGGTGACCACGGAACTTAAACCTGGCAATACACAGGGCCGTAATCACATGTTCCACATTCTGCAGCATGGTCAGATGACCTGACCCATGTGAACCCTGGTCACCAGTCCTGGAGCTTCCCAAAAGCACTCTACATACCTGCCAGAGCCTTGGTTGGGGACACAGTTAAGATCAGAGACATGAGTATCCATTAGAAACTGTCTCCAAGATGAGAGACTCATCTCTTAAAGACGGAGCTGGGAAGGGGCTGGAGAGATGGCTCATCTATTAGAAGCCCTCACTACTTCCGCAGAGGATCTGGGTTCAGTTCTCAGCAACCACATGGTGGCTCACAATCACCCTCAACTTCAGTTCCAGAGATAGGACATCTCACTGGAACTGATGCTCCCCACTTTGTCTAGGAAGACCCTCCTGTCTCCAGGTCTTGGTCACTGTTCTGTTGCTGTGAAGAGACTTCATGACCACAGCAACTCTTATAAAAGAAAAAATTTAATTGGGGGCTTGCTTATAGTTTCGGGAAGTTAGCCCATTTTCACCATGGTGCAGAGCATGGTAGCATGCAGGTGGGCATGATGCTGGAGCAGTAGCTGAGAGTTCTACACCCAGATCTGCAAGCAGAAGGGCCCAGTAATGAGCTTTTGAAACTTCAGAGCTCACCCCAGTGATGCACTTCTTCCAACAAAACCATACCCCTAATCCTTCCTGAAGAGTCCACCAACTGGGAACCAAACATTCAAAGATGTGAGCCTATGGGAACATTCCTCATTCAGACTCCACATTCTAGCCCGAATTCCTTCCAGCGCCCGAATTACAGGCATGCACTGTCACGCCCAGCCTTTTACTTTAAAAAAAAATGATTTTTTATTTGTGTGTATGTGTCACATTTGTGTGGTGCTCATGTGGGACAGAAGAGAGTGTCATATCATTTGCAGCAGGACTTTCAGAAAGTTGAGAGCCACCCGATGTAGGTGTTTGGAACCAAACTTGGGTCCTTAGCAAGAGCTAAAGCTCTTAATAGATGAGCTCTAACTCCATGTCCAGAACCACGTAGTTTCTGGAGGCCTGTTGGGACCGCATGCTTGAGCAGCAAGCATTTACTTTCCTGGCTGAGCTGACTCTCCAGCCAAAGAAATAGTTAATGACAGTCTTAGAGGCAAAGTCATCTACAACCACAGTGTGTATGGATTCTGTTTGTTCTTTTGAGACAGGATCTAGCACAAGCTGGACCTACCTCACTGTATATCGAAGAGTGACCTAAACTCATCCTCCTGCCTCTGCCTCTAAAGTGCTGGGATTCTACTGCAGCAGCCGCTCGGCTTCTGCAGATAATGTCGAAGACTCTTTCCCTGTCCTCTTTGGACAAAATTCTTTTCATGTGTTCATTGAACAAATACAAAGTCAAGCAAGTGCAACAGGGGGTTTATAATAAGTGTTAGATAGTGAAGTCCAGGATAGTGGAACATTCCACAGTGGCCTGACCAGGTAAGAGTCATTTCCCCTTCTGTCACCCCGGAGAAAATTGACCAGACTAGAGAGTTACTCAACCAGAGTGAACCAGAGGGTGAACCAGAACCTGGTCATCCTAGTTCAGTGGTCTGTGACCTTTGCAATGCAATCCTTCTGGCAGTTAGTGTCTTTACCCCACTTCTGCTTACACAGAGAGCCAGAGGGAGTGTGGAAGAGTGGACATTCCTTCCTCAGAGGTATAAACAGTAAACAGGCGCCTCACTGATAGGACGTCAAGCAGAACCATGCCTGCCTGTGAGGCTAAAACTCTGTGAAACAGTGAACACCTTCAACCATCCAGAGTGCTGGCTCCTGCTTCCAAGTGGTGAGTACTCTGCAGTGGCCACACTGCTCATGCATGCTTCCCTCCATGTCTTGAAACGATCTCTCTAAAAGTGATCAATTTCAATTTTGCAACTTGGTTATTTTATTTTGCCATAATTTAGGAATTATTCAGCTTCAACATTATTCAATTCAAAATGATTTTCCTAAGCCCCTCCTATGTGCCAAACTCTAGGAATACAGGTCAACACAAGAGCCTCTAGGGTGGTGAGATGGCTCAGTGAGTATAAGGGCTTGCAGCCAAGCCTAAAGGCTTGAGTTTGATTCCTGGGCCCACATGGTAGAAGGAGAGATCCAACTCCAGCAAGTTGTCCCCTGACTCCACATGCATGTGGCAACACATTCATACCTGCACACACAGAAATGAAGGAAAGAAGGGAAGGAGGGAGGGAAACAGAGTCTCAAGTATCTAGCCCAGGGTGGCCTAAACCTCACTAACTCAAGATGACCTTGAACTCCTGATCCTCCTGTGCTAATCCGCCTCCCAAACGTGTTGGCAAGTGAGCTGTGATTTTTTTGTTGTTGTTGTTGTTGTTTCAACAGGATTGAAGGCAGAAGAATGGTGTTCCAAAGTAAGATTCCTTGCCTTGAGAAATCACTGTCACTACGTTTTCCCCAAGACTGCAGACATTCGTGAAGGCCTCTTGTCTCAGCAGGCCCGGAGGCAATGATGGTCCTACGGTATTTCCTGTTCCCCTAGTGAAAGAATGTGAAAGAGGACACCAGGCTGGCTTTCCAGCCAAGGTGGCCTTCTTGAGCGGTGTCCGCAAACCCATTCCTGGCAAACGGATGGCCAGTCCAGGGGCAAAGGCAGAACACTGCCATTCTGGCCTACTGAGCTTCCTAGTTCCACGTAAAGGTGCTCGATCCTAGTCAATGCAGCACACCACGGCTACTGGGCGCGGGGGAGTAGTGCACCTCGATGCTTGGATGAGGTGTTGGGAGAGCCACGTCTCTCTTCCATCAGGTGCCAAAATTTGACAGCGGGAACTTGGCGGCCGCACCTGCGTCCCAGCAGCCGTCACACAGCCACCCAAAGCCGGGGGACCCAGGACCCCCTTTGGAGGGCGGGGTCGCGACCCGGCCTTCTTGACGGACAACCGCCTCGTGCGCTGGGCAGGCCCCCTCGCGCAACGACCACGCCCCCACTTCCGGCCGGACAGCGGTCACGTGCCTTGAGACCCCGCCTCACAGACGCGGCTTTTCCCCAATCTATCTCTCACTGAGCGGGCAGTGCCTTCCCTTCGCTTCCCTTCCGCCGGAAGTGGGGCGACTTTCCCTTTCCGGCTACGGGTCCCGGAGCGGAGCGGGAGGCCGGACCGGGGGAGCGGAGCGACGGCGGCGGCGGTGGGGTCGGCCATGGCGGAATTGGTGCAGGGGCAGAACGCTCCGGTGGGCATGAAGGCTGAGGGCTTCGTGGATGCCCTGCACCGGGTCCGGCAGGTACGGGCGCGGGAGGCCCCGGGCTGGGGGCGGGAGACCGCCTCGCCGACGCCTAGGGTGGGCGCCTGGGACGCGTGAGGCCCGGGCGGTTCCCTCAGGCGCCCCAGGCCCGGAGGAAACCTTAGTCGAGAGCTCCTGGCGCTTGCTCGCCCGGTTGCACCCACAGGTCTGCCAGCCGGGGTTCAAATCCCAGCAGCTCCTGGTGGGCACTCGGCTTTAGACCCCGGGCATCCATCTCACGCCCTAGACGTAGCTCCTGCAGCCGTGGAAAACTTCATCTTCCCCTTGCTGCTGCATTTCAAGCGGATTGGAGGAAATTCGAGAACATTTTATGCTTAAGAGGCTTATTTTATTTTATTTTTTTGCAGAAAGGAGAGGGGAGGTGTTAAGTGGGTGGTCCCCAAGAGTTCCTTCTGCCGATTAGCCCTCCTCTGCTGGGAAAAGTGTGGGATGGACTCGCTCCGAGCGTGAAACTTTACCATCTGGCAATATCGTGCGTTTTGTCAGTGAAACTGGTCATTTAGAGGACTTGAGCTTCCCTGGAGAATGAGTGTGGGACCTCTCTAGCTCCTGGCATAGTGCCTAGAACAGAATTGTCCTTGTATCTTGCCTGAAACTTAGTGACAAGTTACCCTGACGCTCAAACTTCCCTCTGTTCAGTGATGTTTATCTTCTCTGACTTTGTAAGCTCGCTGGTTCTTTGAAAGCTGGGCTGTAACTCATGACGGGTTGATTCCTAGCAGAATGCCACAGGGCTCCTTCTTAGGAAGTCCTCACCTGTGCACGTAAAAATGGGGCCTTTTTAGCACCTCCTAGTAGTCCTGCGAGGGAACCCTACCAGTCTCCCATAGAGTTTGCATAGTACTCATGGTTCTGTAGACATTATCTTGGAGCCTAACACTTCCCAAATGTTGGGCTCACCCAAAATATTCTCTAGGCCAACCAGTACAGTAGCGAGCATCCGTCTGTCTTCTTTAGAGTTACTCACCAGTTACAATGGATGAACATTCCACCCAGCTCTCCGGCCACCACTCTGCTCACTGGCACTTTCTAGTGTTTTCTTCTGCCAGACAGGGTCCTGAACCCTGTTTTGTACTAGTTGGTAATATCTACTGGATTTCCCTCTATGCCAGAGTGTTGGTTTTCTGTGACCCCTACCAATTAATCACTGCTTTAGAAAGCTCAGGTCTTTTGCTGTGGCCCTGTAGTTGAACATAAGAATGATTTTTTTTTTTTTTTTGAGGCGGTTTCTCTGTTTAGCCCTGGCTGTCCTGGAACTTGCTCTGTAGACAGGCTGGCCTCGAACTCAGAGATCTGCCTGTCTCTGCCTCCAAAGTGGTAAAATGAATTTTTAAGCATTGCTAAGACTATGCATCCCTTAACTTGCTCAAAGGGGTGCCTTCTGGTAAGTGCTGCCTTAGTGTGGAGCGCTGATGAGGGAAAACGATCAGCACTGTTTTTACTTCTGAAGTACACCAATGTCTGGAGCCCAATGCCGTGCGTGAGTTGCTTCTAAGTGACAACAGCTGGAAGGCCGTGCAACCTTTGAATATTTGAAAGGGATTTTAAAAAGAGAGAGAGCCTGGCATAGTAGTGCACGCCTTTAATGCCAACACTCAGAGGCAGAGGCAGGTGGATCTCTGAGTTCAAGGCCAACCTGGTTTACAGAGCTATATGAGATCCTGTCTCCCTCCACACACACACACACACACACACACACACACACACACACACAAACAAAATAGGGGTTGGTGGTAATTTGGGGGTTATTTTAGTAGATTACATTGGATAAAGCTGGAACATTAGAAATCTGCATTGTAGAACTCCACTCTTGGAGAGGACCTGGATTGTATTCCCAGCACCCACACAGTGGCTAACAAATTGGTAGCTCCAGTTCCAGGGGATCTGACGCCCTCTTCTGGTACTGCACACAGGTTGTGCACACACATGTATGCATGCAGGCTAAACACCTACACACATAAAGTAAAATTATCTTTTAAAACATCTGCATTATATGCATATGATAAAGCTTAGCAAGGGAGATTCTGTTTGAGTATCTGGATAGTCAGGGTTCCGTGTCTCTATTACATACAGAGAGTGCTGCCAAGATGAGATGCCTCCCTCAGCCCAGTAAGTGGGAATAAGATTTTGTTTTGTCCTGTTTGTACTGGGACTTGAACCAGGGATATGATAGCAAGCCTTTCAACATACAATGAAAAAATGATGAGGTTTCATTAAGATGCCCAGGTTGGCTTTGCACCCAGGCTTCTGCCTCAGCCACCCACATAGCTGGGATCACAGGTATGCCTCCTAAACTATATTTCTTCGTTTTTTTATTTGTTTTGTTTAACTTATTTATTTTTATTTTATGTTCATTGGTGTTTTGTCATGGGTGTTGGGTTCCCTGGAACTGGAGTTACAGACAGTTGTGAGCTGTCATGTGGATGCGATGCTGGGATTTGAACCCAGGTCCTCTGGGTGAGCACTCAGTGCTCTTAGCCGCTGAGCCTTCTCTCCATATTTTATATTTTAATAAGCATAGAGCTTTCTCCCTTCTTGATTGATCTCATAAATATCAATAACAGTAAGGCCTTTAGTTTTTCAGAGTAATGAGTTGTCTTGTGTTCAATTAACGTAACAAACTCTAGTAATAAGAAGTGACCCTGCTGGAATCCAGTCTGTTAAAGCTGTTGCTTAGCTCTGTCATTTAAGCTGCTGAGCTTCTTTCCTGGTGTCTTGAAGTATCTTTATATGGGTGTCTCCGTGCTCATAACACCGTAGATGTTGCTGTTAGTGTGCTTCAATTCAAAGGGACTCTCTAAAGATACATATACAGTTTACAAATATTTTCAGAGTGGGGGTCCAGTGGATTATTGTGTGTTCTGAAGGGCAGTGGGAAAGGATCTGATTTGAACTACTGATAGTCTAAGATATTCGTAGAGCGTCATGACTAGTTCTTCAAGTCATTGACTGCTTAGCAAATTCAAACGTTTCTTCAGCTAGTTTAGAGATGCCAGGGGTGTGGATCAGAGCCAAAAGCCGTCTTCCAGAGTCACATCCTGCCCTGTGCCCTGGCATTGGTTACAAGAGGGACCAGTGGATACTTGCCTGTTTTGCTTTTAAAAGTCTTTCTGGGGATGATTAAAAATATAGCTTAGTTGGTAGAATGGTTGCCTGGTGGGCGTGTTGTATATACTGGGTTCAGTCCCCAGTCCATATAAACTAAGCATGGCGGCACACATCATTATCCCAGCACTTGACAAATGGAGGCAGGATGATTAGGAAGCTCAAGGTTGTCATCAGCTATATAGGGAGTCCAGCCTGGGCTACATGAGAATCTGTCTACAAAGAAAAAAGTTTCCAGAAAGTCTGTTAGCATCAGTCATCCAGTGAAGACAGTAACCTGTTAACAGGGTCATATGCCATCACGGTGTGCAAACTACCAATAGCCTCCCACTAGCTTTCCTGAAGATAGGTTCCTTTGCCGAAGTCAGTGTTCTTTAGGGCTTTTAAGTTCCTGTTGTGGAGGTGATTTTGTTGAGGCAGGGTTTTACTGTGGCGTTCAGAATAGCCTCATGCTTAGTTTCCTAAAGAGCTGGAATTATGGAATTAGACACCATCAAGGGCCTATAATATGCATTACCCAGCTTCATAGTTAGTGTATGTACTCAAAGTGCAGTATAGATAGTTCTTCAAGAAGATGGGCACCATGCCTTGCACCCAAATAAAAGTGACCAAGCCATTATAAAATTGAGAAGGTTAGCAAAATAGCTTAATGGATTAAGGGATTTGCCACCAAACCCGAGGACTTGAGTCTATTTCAGGACCCATGTGGCACAGAGAGAAGTAACTTCCATAAAACCTGTGACCTTCACATGGGCCCCATGGCACGTGTGCAACCACACAATGTAATTTTAAGTCAATAGACGATAATCTTTTAGGAAGTTTGTAGGCCTGGAAATCTAATCATTACTGGCATCTTTGTGGGGGAAATATTGATTAGTGTGTGTCCTCAGAAGTTCAGCCGCCTTGTGGTGCTGCCATTTCCTACTTTTGAGACTGAGAGTAGACTGCTTGGGCTAAGTGTCCTTTTCCCTGGGCTAATGTGGAGCTTCAATACAACAATATTGGCAGAAGCAGCAGATTTCCTTTAAGAGAACAGAATGTGTCTGCTAATAGCAAAAGCTCCATTCCCTGGATATTGGATGCACCTTGACAGCTCATGCCTTTGCTCGTTTAATATGTGGGTCTGGTTCCTGGCTTACTTGAGCTGCTGAGTGCTGAACAGAATGAAATTGTGTTTTGCTGAAATCAGTGCCTTGTGTCTGTATACTCCTTTCATCTTTCCCAGATGCCTGAGGGAATCCCTGACCTGCTCCTGAGACTTTGCTCTGGTGGGGCAGTGCTGAACCCTTGTTGAGACAATAAGAGTTTTGCTTGGTGGCTGCCCTGTGTTAGTGCAGCAGTTCTAACCTGTGAGTCTTGACTCCTTTGAGGGTCGCATATCAGGTAGTATCTACATTAGGTTCATAATAGTAGCAAGGCTACACTTAGGACGTAGCAACAAAATAATTTTATGATTGAGCATTGTATGGCAAGCTCATTAGGAAGGTTGAGAACCACTGTGCTCGTAGAAGTTGGAAACTTACTTGGTATTGAAAAGTAGATAGTAAGCTAACTGCGTTCCGTAGTACACAATAGATTTTTCTCACTTCCAGTGGAATTTTCTCACTTCCAGTGGAATTTACACAAATAACAAGGAGTGTTTGAAATCATTATCTTTAGGTTTCATAGCCCACTTGTGTTACCAAATTTTGCTGTTTTCTGAAGTCCCAGCTATGTAGTAAATACCATGACCACAGCTCTCCAGCTAGTGCCTCGTGGGCTGGAGAAGACCCCTAGAAACCCACAGCTGTATCTTGTCTCACCCATGCTGCAATACTTAGAAGCTAGCGCGGTTTCACATACAGATCTAGGCATCTGGCTTGTCCAGCAAAGCT